AGCCTTGACCGGCTGGGCTCAGGCAATCCTTCCGCCTCAGCCTTCCAAGTAGTTGGAACTACAGGCATGCACCACCATGCCGGGCTAATTTTTTGATGTATTGTAGAGATGAGGTAACACCAAGTTGCCCAGGCTAGTCTTGAACCCCTGGGCTCAGGCAATCCTCTCGCCTCTGCCTCCCAAAGTGTTGAGATTACAGGCATGAGCCACCACGTCCTGCCCCTCTTGACTATCCATATTCTCTCAATCTAATAGTCATCTTCAATGGCGGAACATGGAGGTTCCTGGAGGGGCCAGCCCAGGGAGGGCATGGAAGCTCCGCACCCCTTCCGCCTGCCCAAATGCCATCTCTAAGAACAGACAAGCACAAGCTAAGTGGGCAGGGGAGAGAGACAGGCATTTCTCACAGATAATCCACATTCATGACGTAAAAGATCACCTAGCTGGTTAAGACCATATTTAGTCCAACTTGTTATTTATGGCACAGAAAACAAAGACTAGTTCTCAAGTCAGTCTTCGCCAAGGATCTTCTTTTTTTCTTATATTTCTCTCTATAGAAAACTCTAGAAAGTCAGCTAAAGCCATACCTGTCCATAGTTGGCAGAGTGCCAAAAAAAGCGGGCTCTAAGCCAGGCTTGGTGGCTCAGCCTGTAATCAGCGCCTTTGAGAGGCTGAGTTGAGTTAATTGCCTGAGCCCGCGGGTTCAAGACCCGCCTGGGCAGCGAGACCTTATCTCTACAATAAATCAAAAAATTAGCTGGGCATGGTAGCGCACGCCTGTAATTCCGGCTACTTGGGAGGCTGAGGCGGAAGGATCGCCGGAGCGCAGCAGGTCGAGGCTGCGGTGGCTGGGAGCGGCCACTGCACTCCAGTCTGGGCGACAGAGTGAGACTCCAACTCAAAAAAAAAAGGGCTCTAGCTAGAGAAAAGGGAAGAAAAAAATGAGATAATCCACTTTGTGGAAATCAACTTCCGTGAAAGTGATGACAGACACAAAAGCCACCTATGATGTGGCTCTTGCCCAAAGTCTTGAAACCAAACACTTATTAAAAAAAAAAGTATTACTGCAGATACAGTTGCTCCCGCCTATAATCTCGGCACTTTGGGAAGCCAGGGGTTTGAGGCCAGCTGGGCAACATAGCAAGACTCCTCCTATCTATTAAAGTGAGAGAGAGAGAGAGAGAGAGAGAGAGAGAAAGAAATGGGGGGGGGGGCGCACACACGCCTATTTCCTCCTCTTCCTATCTTCCCTATCACCTACTGATTCAACCATGGATATAAAATGGGGAAAATACCAGGGTCCTCCAACGCATGTTAGGTTAAATGATATTTATTTAACACGAATACAGGGCTCATGCTGTGCCAGGCCAATTCCGTTTGACAAATATTAACCCATCTGATCCTCCCAACAGCTCTATGCATCAGGTACTACTGTTATATTTTTTTTTTTTGGAGTCAGAGTCTCACTCTGTCACCCAGGCTGGTGTGCAGTGGCACCCTCATGGCCATTGCAGCCTCAACCTGCTGGGCTCAGGCGATCCTTTCACCTCGGCCTTCCAAGTAGCTGGAACTACAGGTGCACACTATGCCTCCCGGCTAGTTTTTTATTTATTGCAGAGATGAGATCTCACCAAGTTCCCCAGGCTGGTTTCGAACCCATGGGCTCAGGCAATCAATCCATTTGCCTTGGCCTCCTAAAGGGCTGGGATTACAGGCTGAGCCACCGAGCCCGATCTGTTTTTTAAATTTATTGTAGAGACGAGGTCTCGCCAAGGTGCCCAGGCTGGTCTTGAACCCCTGGGCTCAGGCATTCCTCTTGCCTCAGCCTTCCAAAGTGCTGAGATTATTGGTGTGAGCCACCACACCCGGCCAAACAGCTGACCATTGACACTGACACATCCATGATGCACATCCTTTCCAGAGAAAGGCAGATATGATTACATTGATTGCATATGGGTACACTGTCACTGAGATTTGCAAATATTGTTTTTCTGTCATGTGGATTCATTAGACCAAACAATGTGCTGTAGTTAGCTGGGTGTGGTAACAGTTTTCTACCCAAAAGCCATTTCCTCTCTCCCTTACATATAGAATGCTAGAATATACCTGATGGCAGTGTGCCAACCACAAAGGATTAACTCTTTGCTGGCTATTTGCTTTCCCAGGTCATCAACCTGCAGCTTGGGATGACCCCGGCCCAGCTCTGGTCAACAAGATGTAAGAGGAAGCCAGGCTGGGCAATAGAGGATCAAAAGAAGAAAAATGCTGAATATGGTGGCTCACATCTATAATCCCAGTACTCTGGGAGGCCAAAGTGGGAGGATCGCTTGAATCCAGTTGTTTGAGACACAGCATGGGCAACATAGTGAGACCATATCTCTATACAAAAATGTTTAAATAACCAAGCATGGTGCCATGCACCTGTAGCATAGCTACTCGAGAGGCTGAGGCAGAAGGATCGTCTGGATCCCAAAGGCTGAGTGTGCAGTGACCCGTGATCATGCCATTGCTCTGCATGACAGAGCGAGACCCCAATTCAAAAAAAACAAAACAAACAAACAAAAAGAAACGTCCAAGCATGGTGGCTCAGGCCTGTAATCCCAGCACTTTGGGAGGCTGAGGCGAGACTCCAACTCAATTAAAAAAAAAAAAGAAGAAAGCCCTCACTGACCCTTCCATTTTCCTTGGGTTATTAGCATGGAGTGATGTCTGGAACTGCAGCAGGCTTTCTTAAGGCCACAAAGTGATCAAAAGCTGTACCCAAAAGCTAACATGATTGTAGGAATACACATTTATAAATTAAGATCATATTATAACTTGCCTTTTTCACTTAACACATATGTATTTTTATTTATTTATTTAGAGTGGGAGTCTCACTTAGTCGCCCAGACTGGAGAGCAGTGGCTGCTCCTGACCACCATAGCCTCGACCTGCTGGGCTCTTGAGATTCTTCCGCCTCAGCCTTCCAAGTAGCTGGAACTACAGGCGCGCACTACCATGCCCGGCTAATTTGATTTATTGTAGAAATGGGGACTCGCCAAGTTGCCCAGGTGGGTCTCAAACCCGCGGGCTCAGGCAATCCACTTTTGGGAGGCTTTCGGCCTCCCAAAGCGCGGGATTACAGGCTGAGCCACCGAGCGCGGCTTGCATTTTTATATTTCATTAAACATTCTTTGAAGACATAATTTGTAATGGTTGTGCCTAATTCTATAGAATGAATGCACCATGGTTTAACTGATAATTGTCAGAAATGAAGGTAGTTCCCAATAATTTGCTATTCAGCATGGGAACATAGAGATATTTATATACAGTGGAAATGAATTCCTTAAGGTAGGTGGAACTGCTGGGTCATCTTCCGTGTTTTAATGACTTTTTGGTTTTTTGAGTAGGAGTCCCACTCTGTCACCCAGGTAGAGTGCAGTAGCAGGCTCATGGCCACCGCAGCCTTAACCTGCTGGGTTCTGGGGATCCTTCAGCTTCAGCCTTTCAAGTAGCTAGAAATACAGGCGTGTGTCACCACGCCGGCTAATTTTTTAATGTACTGTAGAGATGAAGTCTGGCCAAGAAGCCCGGACTAGTCTTGAACCACCGACTCAACCAATCCTCTCGCCTCTGTCTCCCAAAGTACTGGGATAACAGGTGTGAGCCACTACGCCTGGCTCATTTTTTGTTTTTTGAGTTGGATTCTCATTCTGTCGCCCAGGCTGGAGTGCAGTGGCACGCTCACAGCTACCGCAGCCTCAACTCGCTGGGCTCAGGTGATCAGTGCGCCTCAGCCTTCCAAGTAGCTGGAACCACAGGTGCGTGCCACCACGCCCGACTAATATTTTGATTTATTGTAGAGACGAGGTCTCTCCAAGTAGCCCGGGCTGGTCTCGAAGCCCCGAGTCAGGCAATCCTCTCGCCTCCGCCTCCCAACGTGCTGGGATTACAGGCGTGAGCCACCGCGCCCGGCCTATTGTCTTTATTTTACAGGTGGGGGAACTGAGGCCCAGAGAGGCAGCCCGGCAGGCCGGAGGTGTTACCGGCCAGAACCAGGACTCAAGCGCGCACGGCCTGGTCCCGGCGGCCTCCGGGAGCGGCTGTGGCCACCACCGCCGCACATCTCGTCTCTGCTTCCCCAGAAAACGTCCGCAGCCCGTGAACGTCACTTCTGCCTTCCCACCCTCACCTGGGCGGCTTTCCCTGCTCGGACCGCTCCCGGCCGAGCGTGCAGCCCTCGCCGAGACCGCGACCCCGGCACGGAGGAGACCCTGGGTAGACCCGGGCGGGGGG